GTAATTCAGATCTTTCACCCCCTGCCCCCCCCCCCCTGTGGTATGGTCGGTGTGCTTAAACCACACACCAGACGACGGCCTGAACCTTCAAAACCGCAAACCTTGAACCCATAACCCTTTTGCAAAAGGGGACCTGCAGTCCTGAAGCTGAAGGGGGACAGCTAGAATTACTATGCCCTATGGCATTCCGTCATCCACAGGGTCACAAAAGCAGCAGAGCTTAAACCCCGAACGCTTCGCCCCAAACACTGGAGCAGTAGTTCTCAAGTAATTTTCCAATTTCTTCTCCATTGATTCCCCAATACTGGGGTAATATCCTTGTAGCCCTCATATGACTTATGTAATCCATATATAGCTATCAAGCCCTAAACCCTGAACGCACAGCTCAGGTTTGGACCTTCTGCCGCCCGTGCGCATGCGCACAGGAAAACTTGCAGGCATCTTGCAAGTTGCATAGGGTTTAGGATTTGGGGTTTAGGGCTTAAGAAAGTATCTGATACTAACTAGGGCTTTGGGGACAGGGCTGAGGGTTCATGCCTGTTAGAAGCATAGAGAAGCAAACTGAAAGTCCAATGGAAACCTGATGGAAACTTGGAGTACAGCTCCTCGGAATAAGATAAATAACGCACCACGACGTCAACTGTAGCCAGGGATAGCTGCGTAATATAGAATACAGGTGAATGGTACAAGATCAACAATGCTCTTCATTTCGCAGGGCGGAGGTTTTAGTGAGGGGACCCCCGGGAGGTTCATCCGTAGCGAAGTACCCTAATCAAGGTCTTATCATAACCTTTGAAGAGTAATTAGGATGTCGCCTCAGACTTATTCGTTTGGTATAGAGCTCCAAAGAAAAAGGTGCTGCGGGCCCGATGGCATTTAGCCTGCCATTTTACTATGACCATTCGAAATGCTATTACTATTAGTGGTAATACTATAAAATCAGTATTAACCATAAAGCTAACTTCTAGTATTTCTCAACATATTCGGTCACAAACACCTCCCCCCCCCAGGATCCTCTCAGAATCCCTACATATCCCTGGGTCCCCCTTTTGCGAGCATGTTAGTCCCCAAATCCTAAACCCTAAATCCTACTGGGTTTGATGTAAAGGTTTAGGGGATTAAAGATCCCTTGTAATTACTTTTACTTGGAGGGTCAAGGGGACTTAGTAAGTAGGTTCTCAATGGGGATAACAAGGGTTACTATATGAGCTACTGTCTAAACTCCTTAAAGGGGGTTATATAGGGCATTATGAAGGGGACTATGATCGGGCGTATTAAGGGGGATTCTAGGATTTTAGACTATGGCTCATATGGGTTATGGGGGCTATTAACCTACTTACTAAGTACCCATGACCCAAGTACTATTACTATTACTATTTTTATTATTACTATGATACTATGTTTGTTATTACTATTCCTATTTTTCATTATTACTATTAGTATGAATGCTATTACTATGATTGTTATTACTATTAATATTGTTACTGTTATGACTATAGCATGACCCTCCAAGTAGGGGAAGGCCTGGAGCCCTATAGGTGTCCTACGTCGGCGAGCCGGTGGGGTTGACGATGAACCTCAGCTGCTAAGGGCCCACGCGGTGGTTGAAGGGTTTCGGAGTTTGGATCAGGGTTTAGGGTGATTTTTCCGGAGTGCTGCTGAGGAACTTACATCATTGTGCCAAGTGCGGAAGCCATAGTATGCATGGAACAACATAAAAATGCATGTCATGGGAGCTTAATTATGTAAGTGCTTTGACAGCGACGCAGTTTTGGTTACCCCCCAAAAGCACAAAAACAACATGTTGTCATAATGAGGACTCTCGTATGTACTCATCAGAGTTGTTGGGATATGATGTCAGCATCCTTCTGTTACAAGTTATGTTCAGCTGAGGGTTGTTAAAGCGTCGCCGTTTTTCTCTTGAACATAGAGTTTGTGCTATCTGCTTGAGCTTGAAGTGGTTTGGAGGTGGTGTGGTTGGACTCTACAGGGCTTGTTAGCCTGGGGATCCTTCAGGTTGTTGGAACAACAAAGCAAGTACTTCTCAACCTCCCCTGTCGTCTTCGCTCTTACTTTGAGGGTCCAGGGTACTGAAGAAGTATTCTTGTGACCCCTAGAAGCCATATAAGACTGTCACCCGCGCTATCCCCATAGCCTACTTGCTAAGTCACCCTGATTCTCCAAAGCAGGTCTTAGGCCTGTTTTGTGGAAAACAGTGCCAAGCTTTGCTCTTGGAGCCTTCACCCCCCTTTGAATTGCAGCACCCCTGCTTTTGCACGATGGATGTTCACAAGATAGCAGCAGGAGGGATACAGGGTGGCTCCTATTTTGCGGACAGACGACTGCGCATGTTGCAGACTAAGGTAACGCCGCTCATTCACCATGACCACCAGCATAACTGCAACAGTGAACACTCCTGGAGACCCGGGTAGCTGTTAGAAAGATCAGCTTTTTCAGCACGAAATACCAAGGCACATGGGCGACGGCGATGCCCCGTGGATAGAAATGCCGAGTGCTGCAAGCTAAGCCAGACTTCCCTGACCTGAGATGTCCTGGCTCAGGATCGTAATCTCAACTATCCCCAGGTCCAGGGACACGGTTGCCAGTTTCACCTTGCGGAAAGTAGGACTTGGCCAATCTCACAGTCTCACCTGCGCTGAGATAGGAATGTAATTTTTTGGCACCAGGGACACCATCCTGAAGCCCAAAGCCTTGGCAGCAAACAACTTGCTGCTCGTTTGTATGGAATGAAGGAATGGAAAAGAAAACGGGTCCACGCCTCCATTCCCTACCACCAACCAAGATAGAGCCGAGCTGACAGACATCTCATTCCCAAGAGCGTTGCCCAGTTTCGCGCTGCGATCAGCAGCAGGGTCGTTTTAAGTGACAGCCGGGCCAGAAGCTGGTTTGCTAAAGGGCCGTACCGTTGCTGCAGGGAAGTGGGCGAGTGGAGATTGCATACATATCTGTTTTGTCACATCTGATATATAGGCGATATCAGAAGGATTCACTTCTCCGCCTTGCATTAAGAAGCGGAAATCGAGGGGACCTGGATACACGATTTGGGGTCTAGGACTCTCTGTTCATCATCATGTGTATTCGCTTTGACAATGCTTAAATAACGGTTCCTGTAACGCCAACCCCTATACAGAGGTCTCTAGCATAGTCATACGATAGTTACATAGCGGGTGCCAACTTGTGGGGGGCTGGGGCGGGGTGGGTTACCGAAATCCTCATCCTCATCTAATCCCCTAGTTAGTATCCAGACAAGATCCCCTAGAACAATCCCCATATGCCCTTGGGGTTATCCAGCCCCTAAACCCTAAACCCCTAAACCCTTAACACCCCTTAACCCTAAACCCTATTAAATTTGATTCGCAGGTTTTGCCCTCCAGGGCTTCATGGCCCAGTCTGCAGCATCCAGCCGTTGGAAGACGCCAGCTGCTCCAAGGAAGCCGCGCAAAGCATACTTGTAACATGATATGAGGTATAGTCTAAACTCCTTCAAGGGGAGTCTATAGGGGAGCAATATAGGGGTTGGGTAAGGGGGATACTAGGGGTTTAGACTATAGCTCGTATGGTTGGTTGACAAAATCTTGGGGGCTTTCCGGTCTTCTATTCTAATATGGCTCCTAATATTTAGGGCATGCAAGGGGGATCATACTTCTGACAAAATTCCCTCACCTACCAAATAGCATATATGGTTGGGCCCAATCTCGGAGTCCCCATAATAGTGATTTGGGGTAGCCTAGACACTACATCCTAAACCCTGAACCTTGAAGCCAAGGTAGATACAAATTGTTTAGGGCAAAAGCAGAATAAACAACGTGCCAAAAATCCGATCAGCATTCCCGGTCTAAACCATATGCAATTTGTACAAACTGTGCAAGAGCGTATAGCTTCGCGGATGACTCCTTCAAGAAGGCCTAGACCAATTGCTCGGGTGGAGAGTGCAAACTACTTTCAATCTGAACGAAACAGGGGCGCAGAATAGCAAGGATATTCAACATCAGTAGCTCAAACGGAAATCAAGGGCCTCAAATAAATGTCGCTGTTTCGGCCCTCCCGAAGAAGTATACGGACATGCGGTATGAGACAATTCTCTTCAAGGAAGTGCGCTGCGGGCAGCTCTTCCTTGAAACAGACTTAGGGGTGTAGGAAATAAAAGGTAACTCAGGGCTCTTTGAGATGGTTCCCCTGTTGATGGGGTGTATAACAGGCCACATGACATTGGCAATTCTCTGGAACTTTTGCGTTGGCTTGCGCAAGCTGATGTGAAGTCGGGATTCTGTACGCTTCTCTCCGTCGTAGCCCTTGGCCTGCAGTTCGAGTGAAGATAGAGACCAGAACTCGGCTGGGTTGTCTCTTAGCAGCCATGGACCCGGGTGAGGCGCAAGACACTCCGCTCGTGCAGCAGGATGAGGGCCACATGGGCTGGAAACAGGCAACCTGGAACTCCTATACTATATGATAGTATACGTAACTTGTTGACTTGCACAGTTTGCATGCATCCAGGTTGGGATGGCATGTGCGAAAGTCAAGGCTTCCAAAGCACCCGTCAGAACGCTAAAGCCATCTCCATAGACTCCTCAGGAGGGAGCTGGATGATCCCCATAGAATCACCGCAGATCTTTACGAGGATATGCCAATTCGGCGAAATCCTGTATACCCGAACTCGGCCGATGATTTTGGCAACTGCCTATATTGCTACAGCCTTGAACCCTTACCAGAATCCCCGCAAACAGGACAATCTCGCTACAGGAGTCTAAAAGCAGGCATCAATTTTCAGGTTATTTGTCACCTACCCACCCTAAATCTAGACCCTGAAGCCTAATCCATGCTACTTAAGCTATAAACACGAATTCATAAACCGTAAGCCCCGACGCAGAGGCTGGCATCACAGTTTTCACCTTTGCAGCGCCCTCTGCTGTGATGGCTGTGCCCTTCGCCATAGCCAATGCCGGCTACGCTGGTGCTCACACACCAATTTTCAAAGATTAGTGGTCCATGTTTTGTGTCGTAAAAAAGGTGTTATACCACATACAACACTGTACAACGCCTCAGAGAACTTTGTAATAGCAGCAGCAGCAGCAGCAGTAGTACTAGTAGTAGCAGCAGCAGAAATAGTTGAAGCCAAAGCCCCTCTGGAGGTGGCATTGCCTTGTGCTTGATTATCACCGGAGCCTCCGTGGCGGGAGCTAACATGCTCCTTGAGATCAAGCTGCTGTACTTGGGACTCTCCTTGAGGGGGGATACAGAGACGGAGTGAATCTTGCGCTGCTTAGCATTCCTAATATACTCCCTTTTATATGAGGTGGCGCAAGAATTCTTCCATCCACAGTATAGGGAAATCACGCATAGTAAAGGGGGGTTGCAAAACTATTGATGTCGCCTTTTGGGTTCCTACACAGTCGTACTATACTATACAAGGGCACAAAACAAGCTGATGCGTCCTGAATTGAACTCATTTCCTCGTTGCTGGCTTTGATCCCAAGATGCTACCAACGGCATCCACGAGAAAAGCAGACAGGCTATCTTGTTGGTTTTCCTGCAAGGTTGCTGGAAGCATGTAACTTTTTTACGGCCACTTATAGCGGAGACTGAATTTTTGCCCCTCTACGCAGGAAACTCATTCATGAGAGGAGTTTTCAGGACGTGATACTCAGGCTTTTGGGTTAGGGTGTGGCGTTGCAGGGCACAGGGCTTGGGATCTGGCCCAGCCTTTGTTGCTGAAGGTGCGGTATCCAGCACAAGAAAGCGGGTAGAACCTTATGACGAACACTCAACCATGAAGAACTTCACGTGAAAGAGCCCTCCCCCTTTGCGAGCCCTCGACGTGATGCTGCATGCCTGCACCCTGGGCCATGGATCCGGCTGCTCATAAATAGTCTGAGTTGTGAACCCGGCACCTTGAAATTGGAAAACATATGAAAACATCAGCCAAGGTATCCCCATTGCAAGACCTTCGGCGATCTAGGCCTGCAGGTGCTAGGAAGGCCCGCACAGATCTGGGGCAATGTGCTCCCGGGCTCATTTAAAGGGTCCCGTGCCTGAGCAACCAAAAGAGCATGCAGAACTGCAGAATTGTTCGAAGCTAAGCGTGTGAGGACTATAGACGTTGGATAGATTGTCCCGCAATGCCCAGGATTCAGCTTGGGAATTTCTGCCTCTTCATGCCATGCGCTTTGCGCTTCTGTGCGCTGTCCTTGCTTTCCATTGGCACGATCGGCCCGCTGGGAAGCTGCGTTGACTACTACGTGTGGGTGATTGCAGCCATTTGTCTGCTGACCACTCAAGTCAGAAGTTTCGACAATGCTCAGGGCTTCACCGTGATCTCGTTCTGTTGCGTCATCGGGATGGTGGCCTGGTGTTTGCAATGCAGTGGGCTTAGGATTTTGGACCTGTTGTGTCGGCACTCGGAATTTTCGTAGTGATCCTGAAGTCTGAAGCGTACGCACTGAAGGCCAATAGGCCACAAAAACCTCTCCGCTGAAACCACCTACTACTCCTTCATCCCCCTCATCTTACTGACTGGTAGGAATGATGGAAAGCAGGACATGGGTTCTCTAGTAGCCACCGGCCCAGCAAGTTATGTTCAGGTGCTCCTGTGGCATTTGGGGTTTCCAACGCCCGGGGCTCACTTTTGGAAATTCCCATACTACAGACTATTGTCTGCTAGGTTACCCAAGATCGCTATGTATGGGAATGTGATTTGTCTTGGGATGATCTGTCCGTAGTGGTAATTTGAAGCCAACTGTGTGCGAAAGCTCATTATGCTGTATCACGTGAACTGAAGACGCGTGATATCATCCCTATTCGCACAGCTTTGGAGTCAAACCATGAGCAGAGAAAGCTGTTGAACCGTAGATAATAGTAATAATGCTTACTATGATGCTCAGTTGAATGTGAAATTCCAAGCGGGGGGTTTCTTGAAATGAGGTCTGCTTTATCCTTCCTATAGACACCAAGACCCGCAAGATGAGAACCCCCCAAAAGACCCGCATTTTGAAGATTCCCCGCAAGTGCCCCAGCAGCACAGGTGGTAACCATGCTGATCGGTGCATTCCAGTATGAGCATGATCCCAAAATTCCAGCTCAGTTCTTCGGCAATCCTGAGGCCGACCCAGGATTGAGGCGCCTGTGAAATGGGCTTGCGCTAGGGCTCCTATGTAGCTTCTTTTTGCCTTTGTGATGTTTTCTGGTAGGGATTAAATATACTATGCGGAAAGGAACTACAATGGAGCCTTGGGGAATCGTTGCTGTCAAAAGCTTCTGAGCTAGGGGGTCTAGGAGTGAGGGGTTCGGTTTTCGGGGTCTATGGTTTGAGGTTTTAGGGGTCAACAGCTGTTCATGCTGCTGAGACCTTAACTGTCTTCGTTGGTGCTTGGTATTTTGTGTTGCTGGTATGTCCTGGTATGTCATGTGCATCACAGGGAACTGCAGTATAGAATAGTATAGATCATGCGGTAGCCAGGACCACCTCCTTGCAATTAGTGGACCAACAGTGGCTATGAGGGCTCCATTCCTCTGATTCGAACGGATCTGTAGGTGCCAAGGCTGAGTCTTAAGGATTAAGGGCGTGCATCTGGATGTTGACTGGACAGTCTTGGGTTTAGTGCTTGGCTCACCAGCTTCTGTGGCTGCCTGCTGCTTGAGCCCCGAACTTTCCCGATGCAACCATGGGTGCCGAATGCTCGGGGGATGCAATGAAGGTCTGCGCCATTTTAGGAAGAAGGCCTGCCGGCCTCAAGACGGCAGATAAGCCCAAAGCCCTAAGCCCTGCGTCTTCAAAGGCTGATTCGGCTGGCCAGTGGTTTCACCATTGGTGCTTGGGCATTTATCCCTGCTTTCCTGACGGTGGAGCTCAGCACCTGCATGCGCACACCTGCAGAATCTTTTTAGATTTGAGAATGTGTGGCTGGCTGCTAGCAGTCTGCAGCTGTCTTCGTGGATTTTTCTAGTTGCTAGTCTTGGTTAGTTTCTATGAAAAAGAGTGCCGTTGGGTTGGCGGGGGGCAAAGGAGTTCAAGAAGTCGCTGCTGCTGGCTGGCAGCCTCAACGTGGGATTGTTCCTTGGTTCTCCAAATAGTTCGCATGAATCACACCTTAATTAGTTCATGTGGATAGCATAGGTTCGTGGTGGTTGGCACCATTGTTGTGGCTCGCTGGGGCTATAACGTCGGCGAAGTCATTGCTATCACCGCGGGTGTTGGCGCATGGGTTCCTGGCACTACGATCAACACGGCCTTCAACGTCTTCCAGTTGGGCGGCAATTTTGTGTCATACATGTTAGACTCCGTTCCACTTAGCAGGTTCTGCCAGAAGTCCTGGGCCCCCAACTTCAAGGACACATGGACCCTGCCTGACATTTGCAGATACCTTGGCTACTCGCTACCCACTTTTCTGTCAGCCTTGTTCCTGAGCACCTTCACCCCAAGCATCAACACATTGCTGGACTTCGTCACAGCTTTGACTACGCCCTGGGTGACTCAGATCTACCCAGCAGTGCTTTATTGGAAGGTCCTTCATCGACGGGCTGCGGAAAACATCGAGTGCGGACTCGAAGAGCCAATAAAGCGCTCCGAGAAGATCACGGTTGCTCTAGTCTTGACCGCAGCTGGATTCCTTCCCAGTACTCTTAACCTTTTTGAAATTCATTTCGCAACCTTCTAATCTTGAAAAATATGAAGACCAAGCCGGTGTCATATTTCATCCATAAGAGATCAAAGACCAAGGTTGGCTGCGTCAGCTTCTGTGCCTGCTCACTGAAGGCTATCGGCTACCTTGCCTTTGATGAGCTTCGGCCGCCTTTCCAGATTGGATGCGACGGCTGGCTGATATGGAAGTGGTCCCGCGCATGAGCGCGGCCCAACTCTGCCAGTGCATGCCAATTCAGGGAAACCCTGAGCAGAACTCATCTAAGACAGCCCACATCAGGAGGAGAAACCTTAGGGGTTCCTTCAACCAGTGGGTCCCTGAGTGGAAGCCATTGGAGGCCTAGATCTCAGAGGGCCAGCATCACTTGGCCTTAGCTAGGTGTTGCAGCTGGAGGCCTTTGCCTAAGCCACAAGGGTCGCCTAGATGTGGGGGTCCCTACAATGGCGAAGCAAATGGAAAATCCAATCCAAACCTTAGGACCCTTTAAAGGATGTACGGGGATATCCCCCTACTTGTGGAAACTTCGATGTCATTGGTTCCCTCAAGGACCAACACACACGAGCGTGAAAGATTATTGGCAACAACTGATGGTCTCCAGCATTGTACTTGGCATAGCGGAGACGAATCCCCTTCCATTTAGCGTTGAAGCCGCCCCTCAGTCCTCATGTTGCACTACAGAAGCTGCTAGGGGGTGTGCTACATGTCCTAGTAATTTCAATCAATATCCATGCTTCCCCTTTCAGTGGGAGGGGACTAGCTAGGACGACGAGGCGGAATCTGAGCAGTCTGGCCAGGAAAAGGAAAATGCGCAGTTGCCTTGGTGTGCTGCAAGGGCTTAAACTGCTAGACCAAATTTTTACGTTGATGAGGATGAGTATTCCTTGGAATTTCTAGTTAGTCTGGTTTCTGCGTTAGAAACAAAAAACAAGATACCTTGGTCTTTTGTCGTCATGAGAAGATGAATATGACTGGAAGGACCCCATGGCTGGGAGATTTGGAGGCACATAGACGGACCCTACCCGAGAATGGTGCAGTCCATCTAATTCTTAACGAAGAAAATGTCAGCTTGCCGCGCCATCAATTTGGTGTGCCGTAAATGGAGTGTGCTGGGAGGCAGATATTCCTCGGAGGGCCGTCTACATGGGAATTTCCAAACAGGTGCTTACATTCTGTAACCCCAAATGCTTGAGACCTGAGTCTGTTTATGGAGACTAAGCGGGACTCCTGAGGTTAGAAGCCCCAGATACATAGCATCCTTCCAAATTTGGCATCAATTTGTTGGGAGGATTTTGCATAGGAGTGGCGGGTGCTGGCCAGGAGTTGTCACGCTGGCGACAGCAAATCACGAGTCTCTGGCTGTGCCTTGTTTGCATGCATATCCCTGGCTTTTCAGGATTTCGGGGTTTAGGGAGTTAGATGGACAGCTTAGGGCTTAGTTTGGCGCTTAGGGCCGCAACGTAGAATTTGGGCATTGGGTCAGGCACAGGGCTACAACCGTGGGGTATGTGAGCTTGAATTTGGCCGGCACAGCCCTGTTGGGTGTTTATCACGATGTTTCTGGTGAGTGTGTCGTATAGGGCTCTATGGGATCATTGGTCAGTGTGTATGTTGGTGTTCAATCAAGTAGGGCAACAAACTATAATACATATCAAGGCGCGAAACACCATAAAACACCAGTATCCACTTTCGTTTCCATTTGATTCTGAATTATGGGGGAATATCCCTAAACCTCAAAAAAATAGTGTCCATGAAATTTCCGTTTTCTGTTCCATATGAGTCTCCATTATTGAGCCCTCTAATCCGTGTATACCCCTATGTGATTATATAACACTACATATCCCCCATGTAATATTCCATACCCTATATATCCGTCTGCAAGCCTACATATCCCAAATATAGCTCTGTACATCCCCATATAACCCTACATAGTCATTTGTACCCCTCTACATCCCCACATTCCCCTTTATATCCTAATTTAGCCCCTCTATACATCCATTGGAGCAATGTTCTTCAACCACCCCCGCTATGTAAACCCAACATATTGCTCATTGTAATGCAGCAGTTTCCAAGTTCTCCTCCATTGTTCCGTGTAAAGCCCGTGTATATCCCTGTGCAACCTTCTACAACTGTATATGTTCCCATACAATTCTCCTACAAGTCTATTCGGGTAGTGGTCTTCAACCAAGCCCCTATATAAACCAAATATATACCCAATCGTGACGTAGTAGTTTCCATTTTCACGTCCATGGTTCTTGTAATGATGTTATAATTCCAGATAACCCTACTTGATTCCATACATCACATATCCCCTGTATGATTCCCTTTTAGTCCTAAAGGCTAAATGAATCCTTGAGCCGAGCAGCTGGCTGAGGTTGCCTGGACTTTGCGTCCACGGAACAATGCAGAGTTCGCTGCCACCTCAGTTGGATACTATAGTTATAAGGCCCTAAATCATGGAGAATCGAGTAGAAAATTGGGAAGGATTGCAAGATTATTGGCCTAGATTTTCTGGACAATTATGGGATAGGGTACCTCGAGTAGACTTCATAAATTATATTTGTCGCTATTGGTGTCCCTAAAGTAACAGGGTAAGCCTTAGCTAAGGTCACGGTGTCAAGGACGCTTGGGACAAGGGATCCCCTTATCTGGGTTGCTGTTAAATTCCTGTAAAATACTATAACGAAATGGGACCCTGAATATCGTGAGGATAAAGACGTAACATGTTGTCTGAAACCTGGTTTAGGGTTTGGCATGGCTAGGGGTGCAGGGTTTTGGCCCTTGTGGACAGACTTTTAGAATAACGCCAGGGTACACAATGCTCATAAGTACTACTACCCTTCATGACCCCAAATGCCCTTTGCATTGCCTGAACATTTTTTTTCGTTTTTTTTTCATTTTTGGTTGATCATTCCGGGTGTTTGTTCTTTTGAACTGGGGAGGGGTTTTATCTGTCCTTTGCAGTGGTGACATTGCAAACTCATGGAGCAGGAGCTGCTTCATGCTCACCAGTTTTATTTATGTGGGAGCACTAGTGGGCTCATAGGGTTTTGGATGGGGAGGGCCTTACCAAGGGACCCGCGTCGTCAGGTGGGATTTTCTAAGGGGCTGGCTTGGCACTTATAAAGAGCCTTAAAGGGAACCGTTTCTAGGCACGAAGCCACATTCCTTAACTCTTTCGCAGGTGGTTGCAAGGCTGTTTCGCAGCATGGCAGGCTCTGCTCCCCGCGTACTTTCGGACCACCTCAAATGGATCTCAACATGAAATTGGTAGTTCTTCAGCTGTCTAATGTACCACTCCTTGAAAGGGGTATGTTAGGGGAGCATTGGAATTTGGGTCCGGCGCAGAAAGGCAGAGCAGTTGAGAACGAGAAGGCATCCACTTCTTGTGAGTTCAGGACTTCCAGCATTCCCCTTCAGTCATCTTCCCTAGTTGATAAGCGTAGTTTTGTTCAGGCGGTCATAGAAATAGTAGCAGTTTCTATGATGTACATTGCCTTGAAACCACTCTCTCCTGGCCCTAGCCAAGGATCGCTTGGAGCAAACGTCAGGGTTGAATTCGAAAACGTATGTTAACTTTGGCTCACCTTCAGCCCTAGACTCCCTTGACAACCCTTATTTGAAAAGGGTAGCTTCTGTGGATAGGGGGATCCCAATATGGACCTCAATGTAATTACTATGGGCGTCATGGTAGTGGGACCCTGCAAGAGGATTCTCTCAAACTCGCGGTCGTAAACCCTACAAATCCTACATAGCCCCGGTTTGCAAATAATTGTCTTGTTTATTTCACATTTTTTGGGGTAATATCCTACCAGAATTCAATAAGCCCATTCGCCTCCCAAAGAATTTTCTACAAGCCCTTAAATGCTACAACCCCGAACCCCAGAATTCAAGCTTAAACATGTTAAAACCATGGGCCTTTAGTATATACCCCATGTAACGTGTGCAGGAATATGCACACCCTCATAGACGTATAGGCACATCCCCATTGCCCATGGATCCTACCCTAAACCCTAACTGCGATTGGAGAAAAAGGCGTGCAAAAAACAACTTATAAACCCTACCCCTAAAGCTTATAAACCCCCCAAAAAACCGCGCGAGACAAACCCTAAACCCTATATAACCCACTATAGTAGTTTCCATGTTCTTTTCCATGATCCCCAATATAACCCAAATACTCAATACTACCCCATGGGGCACAAACCCTAAACCTATAATCCCCCATAGTAATAGCAATAGTAATAGTCATAACAGTAACAATAGCAAGAGTAATAACAGTCATAGTAATAGCACTCATAGCAATAGTAATAACAATAATAGTAATCCCTAAACCCTAAACCCTAAACCCTAACAAGGTCAGAGATGCTGTACGTCGGGTCGTGGCCGAAGCTCCAGGATCCCCGCGGAATCAGGCAGAGCTGCCGGACGAAGAGCATCGCGGTGCACGATTGGGGGTATAGTCCCCCTTAAGTAGATAGAATATGGCTTTGAGTATATTATAAAAAGATCCCCATATACCCCATATTGTATCTACTTAAGGGGGACTATACCTTTAAAGACGAAAGTAGGGGTTATAGAGGGGTTTATAGGCAATATTAGGGAAGGGGTTGTACAGGGGTTATATAGGGATATCTTGAGGGGGGGGTATAGGGTTTAGGGATGAGGCTTAGGATTAACCCCAAGGCATACATAGGGGTATGTAATATAGGGATATATTGGCTACATAGGGGTATGTAGCGGTATGTAGGGGAGATGTGGGGTCATGTAGGGATGTACAGAGTTATGTAGGGGATTCGTAGGTTTGCAGGGGGATATATAGGATAGTATGGAATATAGGGGGTGTGTAGGGGTATATACGGATATGCAGAGATAAGGGGGCTCAATAACGGACAGTCACATGGAAAAGAAATTGGATAATGATATGGAAACTGTTGTTTAGGGTTTAAGGACATGACCCCCCAATGGGGACTCAGATGGAAAAGAAAATGGACAATGACATGGAAAGTGGGATTCCCCTTCTTGTTGGCTGGCTCGTTGTTCTTATTCTCATTTCCCAACTTGATAATATGTTAACTCTTTTTTGCGAAGTTGATCGGGACCATTCTAGCAGCATACATGCGTGCATCGAGGCTCTATAGGCTTTTGTTATTCCGCTGTTTGTTGACATGTGATCAGGGAGAGGGTCATTTGCCTTTCCATTGGGAAG